CAAACTCATGCAGAAGTGGCTTAAGCTTCTTAGTGCTGTGCTTTAACCTGCTGCGCCACCAGGGAGGGCCCCTGTTTATTTATTTTTTTTAAAGATTTATTTATTTGTGCATACAGAACTGGGGTACAGGTCAGAGGCACAGGGGTGGAGAGAGAATTTACCAGAGATAGGGTAGGGAGCAGAACAGACAGATCGACGAAGTACACTACACTGCTGAGGGGAGCAGTGGGTGGGTCAGGAGAGGTCTGCTATGCCATGCGGATCGCCTCCTGGGCAGGCGGGGATCGAACCGCTGCTGAAGTGGCTTTAGCTTCTTAGTGCTGTGCTTTAACCTGCTGCGCCACCAGGGAGGGCCTAAATGTTTATTTTTAATATGTGTATTTTTTTAACTTCTTAAGAGGCATAGTGTTTATTGATTAAAGATGCGAAATAGTTAAGACATCCTTTACTGTATTTTGTATATTGACGATACATAATGTATATTTCATTTTTCATAAAATGCCTTAGTTTCCCGACCTATAGGGACATTGATAAATAAAGTTTACGTGTGTTATTTAATCTTGATTAAAGGAATACTCCTAGATTAGTCATTCTTGACCTGAGACATTTTTGCCTTTCAGGGGCATTTGGCATCTGGAAAGAGATTTGGTTGTTATGACAAAGTTGTGGAGAGAAAACAGGGATACAATCAAGTATCCTACAATGCATAGGACAGCTGCCCACACTAAAAATTATCTGACTAAGGTTGAAAAATTCTGATCTAGAATAAATCTGTCTTCTTCAGCAGATGTTTCCAGTGTGTGAAATTTGAGAACTACAGATATTGTTGGCAACCCATCTGGCTTCTGAATGTACAGGAAGTTCTCCTTAATGACTTTTGGCCTTGGCATAATAATCTTTCATTCTTAGGAAAATAGTATTATAGCTGGAAGAGGCCTCAGTGAACACCACGATTGTGCCTGTGACACAGCTGAGGAACAGATTTACACAGCTAGTCGTATCTCAGCCAAGAGTAGAACTTGACTCCTTGCAGAGCAAATGGCATCTGCTGCCAGTCCATAAAAGCAGAAATATGAACACTTCTGCCCCACTGCATCTTGGCATCGCAGTTGCCGAGGAAATCACAATAGAAGCAAGCACCGGATAGAACAATGCTTGGCTCACCGAGCAAGAACAGCCCCAGTAGCAGACCTCAGCGCCCACAGCCACCCGGGCCCTCCCTGTCGTTGCTTTTATTGTATTCTAGACCGTATTTCTCTCTGACCTGCCAACAGCCCAAGCTCATCTTTCCATTTTCCTCCTTCCTCTCTCCATGCATCTTCCTTTAAATTGGGAAAGTGGCCTTGACATTTCAGTGTCAGTCACATCCTGCATTGCCCCATTAAAATCCTTCAGGGGCGGCCCTCCATGGTGGCGCAGTGGGTTTAAGCACAGCACAAAGAAGCTAAAGCCTCTTCCGCATGAGTTCGATTCCAGCCTGCCCCAGAGGTGACCCACAGGGCGCGGCAGACCTCTCCTGACCCGCCCGCTGCTCCCCTCAGCAGTGTACTTCGTCGATCTGCCTGTTCTGCTCCCCACTCTGTCTCTGGTGAAGCCTCTCGCCGCCGCTGAGCCTCTGGCCTGTACCCCAGTTCTGTATGCATAAATAAATAAATCGTTAAAAAAAAAAAATCCTTCAGGGACATGTCTTTATGCTTGCAGACTAAATATGATGGCAACAAGGCGCCACAGTTCCCACTGGTCTCAGCACTCCTCCACCCGTACACTCCCATCAGAAGGCTCATCTTTGCTCCTTGACTACTCAAAATCTTTCCCACCTCGGAACCTTTGTTTATTCTGTTGTTCATTCTGTTGCGTTCAGTATGAACCTGAATTTATGAATCGCCTTTGTCCTTTTTTCTCTGCCCCCTCAGAAAAACAATTGCTGAAGACAGAATAGGCATGAAGTAGATGGGTTACTGGCATGTCTAAAAGAAAATTCCAGACCGAACACAAAAGCATTCTTTAGAGAAGATAGTTTTTCTTGAGTCAAAAAAGCTGCTCTTTATATAAAAAGATCCTGTAGTGAAAGCAATACTAACAGAAATTGTCCAATACCCAGATGACATTTTGAATTTCAAGATAACCTCCAGATTTTCAGAACTCACAAAAGGCTTCAGAGAGTATGTACAGAGTAATGGGATAAACTAAATAGCATATATAATATGTTGAATTAAAAAGGATGTGTGTGTTCAATTCTACAATTGTTTGAAAGCCACAGAAGTAATTCTCATTTATACATGTTCAGAAATATACCTGTACACTTAAAAGTGCAGGACACAGGGCCTCCCTGGTGGTGCAAGGGGTTAAAACACAGAACTATGAAGCTGTCCGCAGCCAATGTAGCAGTGGGCCAGGGAGCTGACCACATGGCACATCAGATGTCTATCCCGCTGCTCCCCTCAGCAGTATATTTTGGTCAGTCTGCCTGTTCTGCTCCCCATTCTGTCTCTGATGAATTCTCTCACCCCCTGCATCTCTGGTGTGTACCCCAGTTCTTGAATGCATAAATAAATAAATCTTTTAAAAAATTATTAAAAAATGTTCAGGACACAGAACTCAAAAGGGTTTATTTACATAGTAATGGGAGAATTGAGAGAAAAATTATAAGCTGGCATATAGCCAGATTCAGTCTGGCCTACCCCAGAGAGCATCCATAGAGCAGATACTGAGGTCTGAGCTAACACTGCACAAGCAAGCGCGTGACTTCTCCAACGCACCCACCCTCCTCACTAGCAGGTTAACTGTCCAAAGCCCAGCTCCACCCCCATTTGCTCATCAACCCCCACATGAGGTGGAGGCTGGAAAACCACTTTCTTCCATTGACTTGACATCAGGCAGTAGAATCTAGAAAGCTCCACTATCCATAACGTGTGTTGGCTGGGAACGCCACCACTGGCTTGGAGGTTGTTTCTCACTGTATTATATCCTGGCAAACAGAAGGAGTGGTGCACCTCACTCTGAGACAAATTTAGACACCAAAACAGTATAATGGAACCAGAACAGACATGTAGGTAATGGAATAGAATTGAGAGCCCAGAAATAAACCCATATTTATACGGACAGTCAATCCATGACAAAGATGCTAAGATGATATACTGAGGAAAGGATGCCTTGTCAGTAAATGCTGTTGGGAAAACTGCAGAGGTACATGCCAAAGAATGAAACTGTCTCCCACCAGACACAAAAATTAATGCAAGATGGACAAAAGACTTGAGTGGAAGACCTGAATTCATAAAATACTTTGGGAAAGTCATCAGCAAAACTCCATGACAGAGGCTCCCATGATGTCTTTGTGTATTCCCCTCCCACAGCAAGAGAAACGAGACTAGAAGCACCTGAGACCCCATCAAACTAAAAAGCTTCTGCACACTGAGACAGAAAAGACACTTTAGTGAATGGGAGGAGATATTGAAATTTGCACAGCATACATTTTACCAGGAGTTAATAGCAAAGAGCTCTCATAAACTCAGAACTCAGCTATAAGAAAAGAACTTAATCCAAAAGTGGGCAGAAGAGCTAAATAAGCAGTTCTTTAAGGAAGATAATGCAGATGGGCCAGCCCCGCTATCAGGGAAATGGAAAGCAAACCACAATGAGATGCCACTGCCCTCCAGGGAGAGCAACCTAAGCCAGGAAAACACACACAGCCTAGTAACAAGTGGTGAGTAGGATGTGGTGAAAAAAAAAATGAACCCTCCTAAAATGACTAGTGGGGATGTAGTTTTCTCCAAAGAGTCCCTGTGGAGAACCGTATGGAGATTACTCAAAATGTTAAAAATGAATCTATCTGATTAGCCACCAATTCCACCTATGTATCTACCAAAGAATGCAAAAATGATTATTTGAAGGGATAGATGTGCCCCTTTGTTCATTGCACTGTTCCAAACACAAATGAGTGGACCAAGAAGATGTGGGCTACACGTATGGACTACTACACAGCTATAAAAAAGACAAAATAGGCCCTCCCTGTGGCGCGGTGGGTTAAAGCACAGCACTGAGAAGCTAAAGCAGGTCCGCCTGAGTTCGATTCCTGCCTGCTCCGGAGGTGACCACATGGCGTGACAGACCTCTCCTGAC